GCTCTGGGCAAGTCAAATAGATGATGAGATGTGATTTTCTGATGATAACTGTATGACTCTCTGCTTGAGGCAAATTACATACAAGGCTTTAGCTTGCCTAGATCACAAATTTGTCATGCAAGAGTGCATTTTTTTTCATTGTGTACATAGGCATGGAGATAGAGGGAAATATTTTGTTAATGCAAAAAAAGGAAAAAAGAATAGGTCTCAACTCAAATGGAATAAAAGATAGTTTAGTTTATTTTGGAGCCAAATATGAGTGACCATGAATCAGAAATACAGATTTAAGGTATCCTCAAAACCATGATCTGATGGGGCAACAGTTTCATGAAATTTTTTTTATAGTTGTAGAACAAAGAAAGTCAAAAAAATCAAAACACCTTTAAGCACAGTGGTGGAAACATTAAGTAGGTGAGTTACCGCAACTTTTTGAGCAAGGGTTAAATAGAAGTCATTATTCCAGATTCTGTCCACATTGTAAAAGTCACTCCTACAGTCATTTCTTTACAAGGGCATTACCCTCTATGTTTTTCTAAGTAGTCAGCTTTCAATCGGTTCAAATTTTACCATACCACCTTTGGGCAAAGAGTCTTGCCTCAAACTTCAGGAGACAGGTGCTTTGCTACTCTGTTCATGTTCAGTGACCTCAGTAGTTAGTGCTTCCTATTTTTTTATAGTCATGACGTTGGTGTTCCCGTTGCTGAGATCTAGGTATAAGCATCTAGAAAACATCAGAATAAGAAGAACAAAAATGATATGTTCATTCAAACCACTCTTTGAGTCATCCTCTGTAAAGCAAAGCGACTGCACACTGAGGATTTCTTCTCTACTACTATTTCATAATTCAGAAGTGTGAAATGAAAGAAACAAAATTTTAAGAACTTTATAATTATAAAAATAATGTGGCTGCTATTGGGTATACAACTTACAATGTTAGCTATTTGATTTCTACAAATCCAGTATGTGCGTAAGTTTTCAGGGAGCTATGCAACACAGTACACACCTATATAACGACCAAGATCAGATAATTCTAAATGCATTGTGGTATGTTTCCTGACTGGCTGGAAGGGGCTGGGTGGTGGTGGAGGAGGAATTAGAAGAAAAACTGGCAATAACCCAGTGAAGTAATCAGTTTTAACAGTGTTAGATGAATATTAATTTCTCAGGTTTGAAAAATGTACCAGAAGAATGTAAAACGTCGATTTTAGGGCATGTTGATCGAAGGATTTAGAGAAAGACTCTACACTATCTTTGAAATGTTTCTGTAAGTCTAAAATTAGTCAAAGATAAATCTTTTAAAGTAAAATTATTTTTCTGCAACTGTTGGATGCAAGCATATATTCACATATGCATACATGTACACACATACATAGCACAGAGACAGAAGAAACGAAGAAAAGAGACAGTCCATACCAGAGTCAAGAAAGGAGGACTGCAAGAACAATGCCAGCATCAAGCCACGCATTTTGTAACACCACATAACACCAACAGACAGGAAGCTGTCTTAAGTCAGAAAAGTTTGCCTGAAATACACGAGAAAATAAAAATGAGCTTGGCCTAAGTACATAAAAATCTATTTTGCCAAATATCAACAACAGATGCAGAATAAGACAAAAATGTTTATTTCCTCAAGAACATGCTTTAAAATATTACAAAACCTTTATCTAAAATCATAGATTGTCAAAAATCAAAAGCTTTACTATTTGAATTTATGACATTAGGATGAGTGTACCTTTTTTGTTTGGGGGGGTTTAGGTTTTTGTTGTTGTTTTTTTTTTTGTTTGTTTCTTTTTGTTTCTTCTTTGGTCTTTTTGAGATAAGTTCTCCATGGTGACCTGGAACTCACTATGTAGACCAGACTGGCCTGGATCTCACAGAGCTCTACCTGTCTCTGCCACCAATGAAATGTCCACTTTTATCAGAAGACCCAAATCACTTTAACAAAGAGAAAAAGCTTCTATTTTTCAGTCAAGTTGCAGAACCACAAAAAAGGAATTTGTGTACACAGTCCATGTCTATATTAACTTTGTAGTTTCCAAGAAAACGTATCCTTGGTCCATATTTTAGTTCTGACCTTACGAAGATCCCCTTCCATAAAGCAGTGTTGGGTCTTTTGATGATTTGCTTTTTTGTTTGTTTGTTGCCTATCAAAATGATACTTCATTTTAATTTCTCCTAAACTTTGCACTTCCTTAAATTCCTACAACAAATCTATGCTGATCTTCGTTTGGTGAGGCATCCCATGGTTCCTCTGGGAAGCTCATTCTCTCCTTGCAATGTGCCAGTAAATTTACCTCTCTTGGAATTCAGTTCGTTCTATGAGATGGATTTGCGCTTATTGAACTAAGGTTCCCACTTGGCACTAAAAGTTCTGTAACTTCACAGAAAAGTAAGCAACAAAATATTAAGTTCAAATCCCAAACAAAGTTATAAGAAAAGCCAGAATGAAGAAAATAATGTCATCATCACAGACAAGGAAAACATTACTGAGAGAGATGGCTCAATTCAGAAATAGTAACCTACAACTCATTAGAATTAATAATCAAGAAAGAACTAGAAAGACTACAAAAGTTAATTCAAAGGATTACAATTTGCTATATGAACTTGAGCCAATTTCCAAGCCAACATTTTTGGTGTCAAGATATTCTCTAGTATTTATTCAAGTGGGACTCATGAAAAGGATAGAGGTCAGAAAAAGGGATTGGATCCCCTCCAACTAGAGTTACAATGGTTGTTAGCCACCATGTGGGTGCTGGGAACTGAACCCAGGTCCTCTGGAAGAGCAGCCAGTGCTCTTAACTGCTGAGTCATCTC